GGCACAGACAGCACATTATTGCTTGGACCCAAAGAAAGAAGGAAATGAAATGAATTGGTAGTGACTCCAAGTATGAGCCATAAGGATGGACCTGCCAGCAAATAATCACCAAGGTCAGCTGATGGGCTGGGATCAGGAGTCAAGAAATAACAAAGTTGGGATTTCCAAATTTACTCTGCTGCAAACCTCTGACTCTTCATTCTGCGCCAGGTCAAATATACCATGGCAAGCCTGGTCCAGGCTGACACAGGATGACGTAATGAAATGACCTCAAGTAAGTCATTTCCAGTTGGATTTATCCTTTTGAAAACATGCAGAGGAAGCCTCAAATGCCCTGATTTCTCCTAGACGTGCTGGGGAAAGTGTCTTGGGCCATAAAGCATGAATGTCTTTTCAATTGCAGCTATTATGACAGAAAGAAATGAATATAACTTCCTGTTTGTGAACAGGATAGACAGAGCAGGTGACTACAGAGAGTGGGAGGGAAGGCTAAGTGGATTATTAGTTAAAATACACTCTCAGGGATTTTCCTGGGGAAATGCCAGAAAATCTCAAAGACCAACTAGCTGCTAACCTGTTTGCTTGTGTGCCCTGTGGATGCTTAGAGGGATCCTGGTGTGTGCTCCCGGATATGAATTTGGTCCAAAGGTTCTACTCCCAGGCCCTCTCCCTGCCTTTGACTCTCAGCACTTTCTTAATGTCGCTAAACCTCAGTGATGAAGCTTAGCTTGTTCAGACTATAAAAAGGCTGACATACCAATGCCCAGTACAAAGCCCAGCAAGGAGTACTAGGCTAAGTGGCCTTCTCCTCATTGCCCCAGCCTTTCTTCTGCCCAGCTTGAAAAAGTAGATTCAGTCAAGAGATATGTTTCATAGTCAGTTTGAACCAGGGTTCACTACGAGTCAACTTACAAAAAAATAAATCAATGAAAGAAAGAAGGAAAATAAGAGAATAGTGAAACTGTTGCAACCTGTAAGAATTAAAAGTAGGGGGAATGAGTGGGGAAATTACCAATTATATTTCAAGGGTTAATATATGCTGCAGGTCCTAGACACCCCACTGTCCCACCAAGATGTACACTCATGAGTGTGCACATCAGCTTTTGTGTGTTTTTGTTTTATTCTGACTCTGGTTTCTGAACAACCCTTGAAACTTTCAGTAAACATTTCCACAGCTGCAGCTATGTTCCAGGCAGATTTTAGGGGACCCTTTAGAGATTGGTACTAACAGGCCATGACCACTTAGCTCTAAGCCATTAAAATGTTGTTTCTGTCGTTACATTTATTTATTTTGTTTAAGTATATGAATGTTTTGCCTGTATATGTGTATGTATGCCACATGCATTTCTGGTGCCCAAGGAGGTCAAAGACAATATCAGACCCCTTGAAACTGGGGCTACGGATGGTTGTAAGCCACCATGTAGGTGCTGGAAACCAAACCTCAGTTGTCTACAAGAGCAGCATGTGCTCTTAAGTGCTGAGTGATCTCCCCAGGCCTAAAAGGCTTTAATCTAACCAAAAATACATCTCTCCCAGATTTTTGAGTTGTGAAACGCTGGCTAAAGTCACTAAATCTGAGCTTTGCCCCATTGCTCATTCTGCCTCCGTCTTCCTGAGGTCTGAGAATCTGCTAATCTTGCAGATTACATAATCCAGTAAAAACACAGGCACTTCCCTGACCACTGCCGACAGAGTAGTAAGAGCAGACCAGCCCTTCTGCCTAACCAGTTCTCCTAGAGGGAAAAACATCATCACAAGAAACAGAATTGGATCCTGAGAAGTCATGTTTGGAGGAAATGGACCATTCTGGAGGCGGGGTCTGGGCCCAGGATCAATTTGAGTTTGGAGACTAACGTAGCAGTCTTTTGGAGCTGTCATCTTCTCACAACCCCAGTCACTTAGAAGTGATGGGAGAAACCAAGCTAAGAGGACAAGAAAGTTGTCTTATTGCCCTGTTGTTGCCAGCAGCTGTCTAGAAAGCAGGCACTGGTGCAGCTTGGTTCTTGAACCTTTTCCCAGACAAGCTACTGTTCTATCCCCTCACACCTCATTGATTGCTGCTCCCTATAACAGTAGCTCCCCCTCCGTGCATTATTCTGAAAATCAGTAAAGGAAAGGAAGACAGAGTCCCAGATCATTTTTTCCTGCAGATTTTGGGAGTGGTGTGGTCTTCAGTATTTTCCAGCAGGGCACTAGCTCAGCCTCCGTAACTAGTGGTAATCTGGACCACTAAAACCCCCTGCATCCCAACCGTATATGAAAATAATGTGTCCAGGTAATAGAAACCCAACAGAGCCATCAGGAACTTGTGTGCATATCCCAGATTCCTGCTCACAGTTCTGGGATTCTTAACCAAAGAGGAATGCTCCAAAATGTGTGCTGAGTGTCCATTCAGCCAACATAAGCAGGATGAATGATACAGTTTCTCAGCAGAGAAGTAAATGAAGCAAAAGCAATTCAACTAAGTCAGGTATACTTTTTGTTTACCATGAGGAAATCAATCAAGATCTCCACAATTCTCTTTGAGTACCCCACTTCCCACTTTCTGCCTCATCAAATAGCCAATTTCTTTATAAATTATGCCCATAGCAAGTTAGGCACCAGATAGAAACCAAGCCACTTCTGGGATGCATCTCTACCCCTCAGGTCAGCAAATTATGAATGTGGGACAGTTTGTCACAGCAATTGTTTAGTTTTTCCAAGACCCTTCATTCCCTAGCAGAAAGCCTTGCCATTTTCCAGCCATCCCCGTGTGCAATTGGGACTCCTTATTCTTACACAAGCTGTTAGCATGTCCAGTGTAGCTATTCCTCCCCCATCATCTGGCTAACATATCAGACCTATAAGAATCTGTTCAGACTGGCTCTCATAGCTCCTCACAGTTCTGGACCTCTTTAATGAACCTTGAGCTTGCCCCCACTGTTATCTTGCTGACCCTGTTGTCTTCTGCCTCAACACATCAGGGACTTGTCCATAAGCTGAAGGAGCAGGATTTCTGTCTTTGAAATCCTGAAGTCACCTGATCAAAGTTAACATGCTATTCCACTGCACGTGGGATGTAGGACATTCAGCAAGCCCCATCATCACTATGGGGATGTGAAGAGCATCCAAAATAGAGTGTTTAATGAGACTGGAGGATGTGTTGTCAACATAAATAAGCAACAACTGCACTCTTTGTACTTGTAAATCTCTTCATTCATGCACTGTAGTTTCCTCTTACATGTGAAAACATGGTGGACATCGAAAAAGTAAACAGTTGACGAGACAGATGATTGGATGGGATACGAGACGTCAGGATAAGATAGAAGCGTGGGGGCAGTGAGATGGCACATCGAGTAAATGGGCTCACTTTGAACCTTCAGGGTGAAAGCAAATAACAGATTAGCACAAGCTGTCCTCCAACCTTCACACATGCACTATGCATGTGCACACCTACACAAAAATAAATAAAATGTAATTTTTCAAAAATACAGAACTGTAGCATAAAGGACATGAGGAACCACCAAAGGATTCTAAGCAAATCAAAATCTTGATCAGAATAGAATTCGCTCTAGCTGACCCTCCAGAGAGGACCTAGAAAATAGATGAAAGGAAGAAACCAAAGTTCTGCCAGGAGACTTTAGAGGGACGCAGAGAGCAGTAGGCAGGGCCCAGACACACTGGCACATTGGTGCACACTCTCCTATGTCAGAGCCTGTTCCCTTGAACTCACACAGCTATACCCCCTCAAACACACACATACACACACCCACACCCACACCCACACCCACACACACACACACACACACACACACACACACACACACGTAGTTTTAAGTTGTAGACACAGATCAGATGTCCATGGAAGTGAGAAATAAAATAACCTGTAGTGGAGACTGTGTAATTACAAGACCTAAATCAGAAGCCTGGCTTTTAAAGGTATCAAACATGTTTAAAGATGGTATTATTATTAGTAAGTTCAGGGTCTATCTTGCTCCTGAGCCTTGTGCTCAGGCCTGGGAGTGGTGAGTCTTCCATTTTCCACATATTCTTTGAAATGACTGGAGCATTTTCTTATTTGATCTTCACCTCAACTCTGCAAGTCATTTAAGTTTGGGGGTATTAGTATCCCCAGTTTATAAATGGGTGCACTAAACTCAGAGGACAAAGTGTTTTTCACAAGATCTTATCATTGGCAAAGGACAGAACCACAATCCAAATGCATGTCTATCTGATGCCAAAGTAGTTGCTTTTCCTTTATCATAAGAATCTGAAATGACTCGTGAATTGGGTTGTGATGGTGGAAGAATTCTTCATGTGTCCCATGGAAACAAGAAAGAATGGCAAGGCTGATGGGAAGAGAATGTAGCCATTATTTCTTTGTCTGGATCATTTCTTAAGACTCCAAGAGACAAATATTGCATGGTTTCTTTCATATGTGGACCCTAAATTACATGCAATCATTATAAGGATGCATATAGATGATATAGATATATCTATAGAGGGGTGGATTACATTAAATTAAAATCAAGACACCTGGGAAAAATAAGAGTAGCTTGGTAGAAAGAAAGGAGAAGGCCAGAATATAAGAGGGTGAATGTGCTCAAACTACGTGATATACTTGACTGAGAATGTCTTTGTGAAGTCCTCCATGATGCACAATTAGTAAATGCCAATACAAAGAATAGTTCAAATCTTCAAAATATAGTGGAAAAATAAAGTAGCTTCCACTATTGGGTTACTACAAGCAATGACCAGATGCTTAGGTCTCCTAGGATACAGCAGGAAAAGCTCTCAGATTAAGAGATAAAGATAAGAGAGAGGGAGGACATGGGGGGTTCTCTAGAAAAGGAGTGCAGAGCTGAGATGCAAGCTTCCCAGCAACTGAGATGTTCCAATGCCATTTCCCTCCCAGTAGAGAACCAAGGCTTAGACAGCAGCAGAGTTTTATGGGCATACATCTGTGTGTATTGGGGTAAGAAGGGCTACAAGGACTGAACTGTATCTTTCTTTCTCAACAGGCTATACAAGAACAGAATTTGGAAACTTCACCACAGCCAGTTTGTAAGTGATCATCTTTGATGCCTTTTCTTGTGGAGAATAAAGGAGTTTCTGATAGTTTTAGGATGTAGGCAATTGGAGGTGGGTCTTTAATTGCCACATTGCTAAATCAAGGAATGCGGGCAGACTTAAAGAATAATGGGGCTCCTCATTCATTGTTTAGAAAGCACAACTCTGCTCTGTCTACATGTACAGTCTGTGGCCTGAGTCCAAACTCCCAACTCACAGATATGCTAGGCAATGTGGCCTTCAGACAGATCAATTCAGCCTTCTACACTCATCCACTTCTGACAGTGGTTATCCTTTCTGTCAAGGCAAGTGTAGATGAAATTAGTCAACTCTGAAAGCAGTTCCCAAAACAGCAAAAGTACACAATAGGTTTTGCTGTTTATAATCAAAATAATCTTTATCAATGGATTTTATATTAGAGAACATGTTTGACTTTAATACAAAAGCCAACATGAAATTATAAGGTCCTTCTCTAAGACTAATGAAAAAAGGCCTAGAAAGGGAAAAGAATCTGCCAAGGTCATGGAGCAACAGAGTGGAACCTACTTGCTTCCCATCCCTTCTCTGTTGCACTATCCATACTCTTCAGTGGATATGGTAAAAGAACCATAAAGAATCCAAAAAGTCAATTGGCTCTCACAGAACAGTCTCAGAGAAGAAGCAATGAGCCATGGTTTATTAGACTCTAACTAGGAGCCAGGAACCATATGAACACAACATTCAAGGTAGAGATTGCTGTGCCCATTTCACAGATAGGAGAACAGAGTTCATGCCAGGAAACTTTCCCAAAGTCCTTTGCACTCAAGACTCGTACTCCATAGTCGCCCGAGCCCCCACGGGTGCATCCTACAGATGCTATACCCATGCCAATCCAAAGCCCACGAGGCATGAAGCTGAATTGCAAGAGATGGGGTTGATGTTCCTTTCCCATCACAGGTTCTGTCTTTTCTCTGTTACCCATTATTCAAATCCTATTTCTTCTCTTGTTACAGACACACCTTCCAGAGCCAAGCCACGGGCACACCTGACAAGTAAGACTTCATGTACTTCCTTAAACAACATGGGTCATAGTCCTGAGATTTCTTTCATTATATTTACCAAAACTCACTGTGGTGGCTTCAAACTGGCAACAGAATTGACAATCAAGGACTTTGAATAATTTCTTCTCTGTGACAGATCCAAGGACCCACGTCTCTCGGGTGCTCACTCCTCTTGAGTCAGCCTTCTACCTGTCTCTCCTGCTTTTCTCTGGCATACACATGCCCAGCCATAAAAATGGCTTTCCTCCATCTGGGTCTGTCAAGTATTTCTGGAACTTATAACAGATGAAAGATCCCTGGATTGACTTGAAGGGTCTGGGGAGATAGCTCGGTGAGTGAAATACTGTTGTTAATGAACCTGGGTTCAGACCCCAGCACCCATGTAAAATGCCAGGCATGGTAGTATATTCCTGTAATGCTGGTGCTGGAGTGCAGGTTCAGTCAGATCTCAGAAGCTCACTGGACAGTCAGGCTAGCTGAAACACTAAGCTCCATGTTCTGTGAGACCCATCTCAAAAATTAAGGTGGAAAGCAATAAAGGATGACACTCAGTATCAACTTCTGGTTTTCACATGTGCACACATAGTGAACATGCAAACACACACACACACACACACACACACACACACACACACATACACACACACACACATACACACACAATATATAAACACACATGCAAAAAAAAATATTCGGGAACTCAGACAATAATTTTCATGCTCCTAGTCAAACAACAGGCTATACGGATTGCCTCTCTGGAGACATAATGGGACTAGTTTTAGCATCATCTGGGAAAACATGTTAATCACTGCATCATCCATAGTGAAGGGACAGAGACCACCAGATGTGATTGACAAGATGTCTATATGGAGGCTCCAGAGCTTCCCAAGAGCCACTTAATGTAGAGACTAGAGGAGTCCACATCCATTCAGGACATGCACCAAGCTTGTAAAAGAGACTCTAGTCCAGTCAGCAATGGGAAAGATACCTTAGAAGGTCCAGAGTCTAGGTTCCCAGTCACCCATTGGATGTGCAGGTTGTTAAATTGTTCCTTAAAACAGAAGTTATCCCCAAACTGTAGTGTCAGTACACAATGGTGATTACCGAGAGTTTCCAAAGCAGTTATAGGAATTAAGACATTTTCGTTGACTCTAAAAGTGATAGTTTTGTTGCATATTATCCTATTTGACATCAGTGGTTTGAAACACATTTAGTTCTACTCAATTCCTTTAACTACAGACATATTTCATAAAGCACTGACTAATATGTTTTATATAATGTAGACATAGGAGTGATGCAAGCGTAAGAACATATAAAATATATAAAATGACACAGGCTTACTCTTTAATCTGTCTAAATGAAACATGGTGTTTTATTTGAACAGAAAAATTGAGCCCAACAGTACCCAGCTTACTGTAATCTATAAAATGCCCACATTTGTTATGTCCACTTCATCTTCAGAACAAGGCTCCAAAGAGCCCTATCCTCAGCTTCCAGGTGAGATGCTGAGGTGCAGAAGAGAAAACCAACATGTGCAGTTGATTAAAGAGCTTTACATAGTGTGGAATTAGAGTTGGTACTGGGTCCAAGTGGCCCAAAGCCCAGCTTCCTCCCATTCCACAAGTCTATTTGCATTGACTTATATTTGGCCTTGTCAGTGTAGGAGAAGAATTGCCAAAATGTTCTGAGTCTCTGGTTCCAACATGTCCTCAGGTAATTCATTATTGATTACTGCCTGCTTTGTGACATTGGACCATAGTTCTGTGATGTAATGACCAAGTTGGTCTCTCTCTCTTTCTCTCTCTCTCTCTCTCTCTCTCTCTTTCTCTCTCTCTCTCTTTCCTCTCCCTCCCCCCTCCCTCCTTCCCTTCTTCTCATTGAAATAGGGTTTGTCTGAAACATGAATGCTACTAAAGATAAGTGTATTCCCCCAATAGCCATGGATTTTACACCTCCTTTATTCCTTCTCAGGAGTGCTATTTATCTTTTTGTTAAGGAAAGACATGCCAAATAAAAATAAACACAGATTTAGTAAGATGGCACATGTGCAAAAGGAATTTTTCTGGAAGGAAGGAGAATGAGGGAAGGGTAAAGTCATGTCATATATTCCATGTTTGTGGTTAACTGTTTCCAGGATGTCTGGCAAACAGTCCAATCTTCAGATGCTAAAGTCCTTTATATAAAAATGACATAGCATTGATAAAACCTACACATCTCCTCTCAATGTGTGCTAAATACTTCTGGCTGTCTTTTAACACCTAATACAATGTAAATAGCTTTACTATATTGTTTAGGGAAATGTGAAAAGAAAAGAGCCCGAGTTCAATACATGTCATTTACCCCCAATATTTTTGTATCCTAAATTGGGATGCATGGTCAGGTACAGAACTGTGGATGGGGAGGATGTTGGTATAATCGTGGAAATATCACACTTGGAAGCAGACTTTGACACAAAGCCTGCCAGTTTCTCCAGTGAAGCTAAAAGGCCTTTTCCTTGTAAGGAATGGATAGGAAAAGCTGGAATGAACCAGGCATGGGAAAGAAGGATAAAGAGTTATCAGAGCTACTCAGAGAATGTCATAGCCCTAAGTCAGCCTTATCTTCCAGATAGCTGGGTGCTGGTCAGGCTGAGGGTGAGGCAAAGATGAGGGGCCTGAAGAGTAACTGATTCTATATGGATCTTTTTCCAATTGGTCAGTGAGGATAACAGGTGGACTCATCATTCATGGGTCCAGGAATGAGGACTGGGATGGTCTGGTGCTGGGACTTGTCCTGGGTAAGCAAGCTGTTATTAGTAAATTCTTTTCAGGTACACAGAAGAATGAAGGATTTCTTAACTTTCACTGTGTCTATGTAGAATGGCAATTTATAAATAAGAAAAATTTTAGCCAGGCAGTGGTGGCACAAATCCCAGATTTGGGAGGCAGAGGCAGTCGGGTCTCTGTGAATTGAGGCCAGCCTGGGCTACAAAGGGAGTTCCAGGGCTACACAGAGAGATGCTGTCTCAAAAAAGAAAAGGAAAACAATTTATAGTGAGTCAAACATGAAGGACCACACTCCAGGACACAAGTAAATTATCAGAAATGCGACAGTTCTGACTGTGAAGACATTGTATAAGCTCTTAGAGTCACAAAGGACAGTGAGTGCCGGAAACTGGGGCTGGAAAGATGGCTCAGTCTATACACTACCTGCTGGGAAGCAGGAGGACTTAACTTGGATCCCCAGCACCCACCTGAAAATCTAGGCACAGCCATGTATGCCTGTGTCCCTAAAACTGGAATGGCAGAGACAGGTAGATCCCTACAACTTTCTAGCCAGCCCGTCTACACAAATTGGTAAGCTCCAGGGTCAGTAAAAAAAATCCTGTAAATAGGGTGAAGAGCAACTGAAAAAGGCACCCTGCTTCCACCTCTGGCCTCCATATGCACATGTACCTGCCTGCACATGAGTCAATGTGCCTTATTTGGCTCATTTTCCCTTTGTATCCAGTGTTCCATGAAAGCACACACACACACACACACACACACACACACACACACACACACACACACGGGAAACAGACAAGAACACAAGACTTTACCAAAGGCCACAGGTTCTGATCTGTGCCAATTAAACTTCTCTCTTATATTTGCAGTTCTTAAACAAACTCCAGCTCCACAGATGAAAAATCAGTTCCCCGCCCTGCACTGGGAGCATGAACTAGGCTTGGCCTTCACCAAGAACCGGATGAACTACACCAACAAATTCCTGGTGATCCCAGAGTCAGGAGACTATTTCATTTACTCCCAGATCACATTCCGAGGGCTCAAATCCAGGTGTGGTGACACCAGCCAATGGAGACAACCAAGCAGGCCAGACTCCATTGTTGTGGTTATCACCAAGGTAACAGACAACTACCCTGAGCCTGCCCACCTCCTCACAGGGACCAAGTCTGTGTGTGAAATAAGCAACAACTGGTTTCAGCCCCTCTACCTTGGTGCTATGTTCTCCCTGGAAGAAGGGGATAGGCTGATGGTCAATGTCAGTGACATCTCCTTGGTGGATTACACAAAAGAAGATAAAACTTTCTTTGGAGCCTTCTTGCTATAAGGGGAAAACAACCATAATCATGCAGGACCTCCTTGTGTCCTACTTCCCAATTGTCTTTGCTCATATGAAACTATAATCAGGGCTTTGGGGGGATCAGGAATAGGGGACAGTGGTTTAGCTACATAATTTAGGAATCCAAAGCTGATCTTCTATATACCTTATGGACTGAAACAGTAAATGGAAAATTCAGGAGAGCTCATGTTTGGCCCAGACCTGCTGGGTTTTAAAAATTGAAACACCCATCTCCAATGGCACAATCTACTGCTCTCAGGACATGATGTTTCTGAGGTGCCCTCCTTCCTGTTTGTTGGTCAGGTGAGGATGTGACTCCAGTCTGGCTACATGGTCAGAAATGGAGAATGAAATGTTCTGCCTGCATCTGTCTCCATGGTGCATGAGCACATCAAGCAACACAGACTTTCTGAAAAGGGCTTGCACAAAAGCAGTCAGAGTGACCTGCTCACCACCTCCACTAAACCCAAGCTTTGTGTCATGGCCTTCAGGGCTGCCCATGGGTGATCTGGATGGCTTGGAAGTTTATCCAAGACAGGGATCTCCTGGCATCCTGAAATTACATATATATATGTAATTTTCTGGATTATATGTATATAATATAATATGTCATATCATATTTTATTATATTATATTATATTATATATAATATTATTAGGAATGCATTATCAAGCATTCCTAATTAGACTGAAACCAGCCCTTCTGTGTCCAAAGTGCTGTTCCCACAACAAACACCAGGCTACTGTTTTTAAAAGCAAGATAGGAAAATGTATTTTTTAAAAATATGTGATGGAGTCAGGGGTGTTGTTACACATCTATAATCCCACCATGTGGGAGACTGAGCCAGGAGGCTTGCCATGATTTTGAGGACAACCTGGGCTAAGTAGTAATTTTCAGGCAAGCCGGGGCTATCTTAAAATCAAGAACCTTATCTTAAATTAAAATACAAAATAGAACACAGGCTGGTCTTTAAAGATAAAGTAATATATTCAAGGATTTGGGAAAGGGGGCATGTGTTTTAGAAAACAATTAATTTAGTGAGAAATGCTTTGCTGGTTAAATGCTTCTCAAAAGGCTGCTGAACTCAAATTGATTCCATAAACATTTTCTTAGTACTTACTTACCCTGGGGACAGAGAAAAAAAATTATTTTGGTCTCAGATCCACTCATTCTAACAGTTTGGCATCTCCATTGCCTGTGGAGCTTTTAATCACTCTGGATGCATTAGCTAATTAATTAGGTAACTCAAGACACATTGGTATTTTTTTATTATGAATATGGGCACCATTTGATGAAGATGATCATTAACAAAATGATTTGTATTTCCTCTTGAGAATTTTTATAACAGCTATACAAGGGCAGTCTCCCATAAATAAATGAGAGGGGAATGTAAGGCTACAATTCCCTATGATGAGACCCAGCATTGAAACAGCAAACACAAAGAAGTTGTTATTTACTGACCTCAAATTTTGACACAAACACCTTTGAAACTGCTAGAACTTTATGGATGCCTACAGGTGCAGAAAAGTCCATGTTCCCAGCAAAAGCCATAATCAGCATTCATAAGTCACTTGAATTTTGACCTTGGCTTTGGATCCATTTAGCAAAACACAATTGTTAGGCTGTAATTTCTGAGGTGATTTTGTTATTTTACTAAGGTAAAGTGGGAAAAGGGAAAGTGCACTTTTAGCACTTCATCTCTTGAAACATAATCAGGTTCCACGCATGCCAGAACCCTTGGATCCATTTCAGTGCAAACTACATCACCCCAAAGGAAATTCCAATTCTGTGCTTGCCAGTAACTCCTCTGGATTATAGAAGTCCACGAGTTTGCTGTGCACAAGGCACAGCCATTGCCAGCACTCTTTTGCATGGTATTTCTCTCAAGTACTTACTCAATTAGATTTCCATGATTGTGACACTGGGGATTAATTTCTAGAGCAGGTTTGCTTATGTTCTGTCCCTTGCCAAATACATGCAGATGTATCTGGCCTCAAAAATCCCCTGGTTTTTAGGGCTTAGAGTCCTGGGAGTGTTTTGCTGTTTTCCATCCTATTTATTTAAATTTGCATTATTGTCCTGAATGTTAGCAGAATTATAACATATTGGCTGCTAGCCTTTGAAGAACTCAGTGAGCCCTTTGGTAGTGGTGACAGTATTAGATCAGAGTAGTTACACTGATACCTTGGCCTGCTCTATTATAGTCAAAACTTTCTGAGCTCTGTGACACATTTTGCCTCTTCCATTTACCCATACTGAGGAAACTCAGAAGCCCAATTTGCAGCTATTTTTCCAGAGCTACACAGTGTATTAATGGAAAAGCCAGAGCTAGAAGTCTTGTCTTCCAACGCTCTACTCTTGGCAAATGGCACTCAATTTGATGCAACTAGAGGAGATATCGTAGAAAGGCAGATGAAATATCTTTGACTACCTGTGGAGCAATGTAGAAGAGTAAGGAGACTGCTTACACATGGTGTTCATACCTAAACCAAGTTTCTGCCTCCAAATAGATTTTTTTTTGCCTGGTAGTGATTGCTCATTCTCTGGAAAGAGTCAAGCAAAAGGAGAATTTTGTATAAGCTATTGCATCATGGAGGTCAGAGAAGGGATTAAGTCAAAGGATTCCCATTTCCAAATCTATGGCCATGTAGCCACCCATTGGATCATGACAAACTTGACAAGCCTACCAAGAGTTTGGTGGTTCCCGTTGAGCTAGAAGAGTTATCTCTAAGCCCACCCATCAACTCTGGGGTCTTGGCCAGTAGAGAAAATGTTATAGGATTTTAGAGTTGACATGCACTGCAAAGTTTATCTATCCAAACTTACATCACTTCAAAAATGAAGGAATATAGGCTAGAAGTGACATAACTTGGTGCTGGGCAGTAGCTTGATGGAATGTTGAGACAAAACTCAATTTCCTGTCCCCTGATACCATACTCAGCAGCCTTTTGATGTGTGAATTGTTGACTAATTTGGGGGTTTTATTTTGTTTTTTTCATTTTTGGAGCACCTGCCACACCCAGATGCTTTCAAGACAATGGGGTCAGTGACAGGCATTTGCAGCACTGCTGTGTGCACATAGGAGGAAGGAGACCCACAGTAATAAGTAAACAGAATAGTGAACGTACATGATGTTAGTCTTAAAGTGATTAAGACACACCATTTTCCCCTCTTTTGTCTCAGAGGGCATACAGGCTGAACAGACGTGTGTGTTTGCCTGATTTTAGTGATAAGCCCTATGTGCTTTCATTGGTTGTATGTTTTATGTTAAAACGTCACATCACCATGGTAAAATGCATATTGTATGTTGTTGGGTATGTAATTAACTAGTATGCATCCCATGTATGAATTCTAATCTCTGTAAATGAAAGATTATATATGTTAACATATGTAATAGTTGTAATTTAATAAACTGGCATTGAAGGCTGCAGAAATCTGATTGTCAATTCTTTTATATATAACATAAATCTTTATTGATTCTTTGTGAATTTCACATTATGTACCCCAACCCCGCTCAATTCTCAGTCCCTCCATATCTGCCCATCAGCCTGGCAACAGCATCCTCCCTGAAAGAAACCCCCCCAAAAATTAAAATAAACGGGGAAAAATCCACCTCACTGCTCTGTCTTTGCACATCTCTTCATTTATCCTAGTGGCATTAGGTGCTACAGTGTGTCAGGAAGTATACACTTTTGTCCAATCAGCCCTACCAGCAAAATGGTCATTGCAATGGATCTTGGTCTGATTCAAGGCCTCTGGCACTCCATCACCACTGAACCCTCACCAAAACTCCTCTAGGATATCCCACTGTGGCCCCTAGTCATGGAGATCCTGCTGCTGTCTTTCCCGGACCTGTCCTTTCATGTGTTCCAGCAGGTCAGAGATGGGCAGATGTAAGAGTGGGCCATGCCAAGTCCCAGGATGTGGGTCTAGGAGGTAGCTGAGCTGGTCAGTATAGGCCACTAGGACCACCCCCTGTTAGGTGAGGGGGCAGAGTAAGCTCTCCTGGGCCCATGGTGATGGGTGTGGTCACCTCTCACAAGTATAGGGGCGCCTCCCTCACCAGGGATGGGATCAGCTACCCCAGAGTCAGTGAGGGCAGGGCCAGCTCCACACAGCCTTTGGATTTCAACATAATTGGTTCCTATGACCCTCTGCAGTAACATGGGCCGTAGTGTAGCAGAAACACAGACCCAGACCTGATCCAGAGGACACCATGGCCCCATGTGGCAGGACAAGCCAACCAGACTGGCATGGCTCTGGTGGCAACACAGCCCTCAGACATCAACATGGCCACAGGTTTCAACCTAGACACTGGGCATCCATGTGATCTTTGGTGGCACCAGGTACCATGGACATTAATACAAACCCTGGCAATGGTAGGACCACATACCCAGATAGGATCCTCACACCAGCCCTTGCCTGGATGTCTCCAGGTGGCAGCTCAGGCCACTCAGATTGGCATGGCCCCTTCAGCAGCATGGCCCATGGACACCAACATGGTCCTAGGTGGTGATCCAGACCCTTGGCATTGGTGTGGTCTTTAATGGTATTGGGAGCCATGGACAAATTATGTCTATTCTTTTATCAATCAGTCCCTTTATTTTTCTGGATAAGTATCCAAGGGTAATCTCTTTGGACTATTTTTTGTTTGTTTTGTTTTGTTTTTAATGCATCTAGGGGTCTGGGGAGATGGCTCAGCCACTAAAATGCTTGCAACGCAAACAAGAGAAGAGTTTGGATCCTGCAAAGCTACATGGAGGTCGGGTGGGAGTGGCAGCCATCTGCATCTTCAGATTATTTGGAAGGTGAGACAGGGATCCTTAAAGCAAGCTGGCTGATGAAACCAGCTTCTTCATCGAGCTCTGGGTTCAACTGAAAGATCCCACTGCATTGAATAAGATGGAAAACAAATTCCTGACATTAACCATGAGCCCCCACCCATGCATGCACATATGCATGCATGCACCCACCCACCCCCCCACACACACAGGTGTATACCCTCACACATGAGAACACACACATATGCATGCATATCACATACACATAGATAGGAAAAAATGCATCTAGCTGTTCATACCCACAGCGTGATTATAGACTGTGAAACACAAACAGATTGAAAGGAGTACAGGGTGAGCCCACTGGCTTCCATCAGTGAAACCAGAGGCTGCAGCTGTAGCTTAGTTGTGCAGTGAACATCCCTGAAAGAACAGGAATAGAATGGGATCACTTGATGGAGCTATGACCCTGTGTCTGAAGTTAGGCCTGTACCTCCCATGCAAACAGCAGCCAAGGGCTGAGGAGATGATCAGTGGGTAAGGGTTTCTGCTATACAAGAATGAGGTTCTGAGTTCAGATCCCCAGTACCTATGTAAAAAGCCAGGGGTAGCCACAGACACCTGGACCGCTAGTGCTTGAGACTTTGGAAAATAGAAGGATCACAGGGACTTGATGGTCACCAGCCTGTGGGGGCAAACAGTGGGCTCCATATTCAGTAAGAGACCCTGAGTCCAAAGAAATGATAGAGAGTGCTAGAGACAGACACCCAAACGTCCTCCTCTGGCCTACACATACACTCACTTGCACACACCTATGCACAGAGATGCACACAAACAGCAATAGAAATAACTTAAAAGAGAGCTAGGCATGGTAGTATATGCATGTAATCCCAGAACTCAGGAGTCTAAAATAGGAGGAACATGAGTTCAAGACCCACCTGAGCAACAAAGTGAGATTCTGATAAATAAATAAATAAATAAATAAATAAATAAATAAATAAATAATCAAAAGGGCTCAATACTTCCATTTCTGCCCACTTACCAGAGCAGTAGACCAGCTCACATCTGGTGCTCAGTCAGTAGTAATGGGAACTAGCCTAAATTGCCAATTGTTTTTGGCAAAGTCTCTCTGTGTATTCCTGGCTGCCCCAGAACTCACTATGTAGACCAGGCTGTCCTCAAACTCAGAGATCCACCTGCCTCTGCCTCCCAAGTACTGAGACTGGAGGGATGTGTAACCATTGCCAACATTAAGTTGACATTTTTAAGGAAGGGTAAAAACAGCACATATCAGAAAATCTCTCTCTCCCTCTACAGGTAGAAGCAGACACAAAAGGAAGGGGAGTGAGGCTCGGCTGGGAAACATCTGCCTCAAAGTCTCCTTCTGGCTAGTCTGGGAGAGGCTCAAGGTCTTTTCCCTTCTCACTCATCTGTGCCCATCCCTGGAAGTGACATAGAACAGTTTGTTCTTGACATTTGCAGCATGAAATGAATCATTGGCTTTAAATGTACTGATAGCTAAGACCAATAAAAATTCATCATTTCAATTTTCCAGAGGAAAATACTGAGGAAAGTGTAATGTAGGTCAGCAAAAAAACAAGTTTTCCAGCAGATTCTCCAAATGACTCTCCATTGCCAGGAACACTAGAGCAAAAAGACAAAGCCATTTACCGTCTCTCCAGAGTTGGTCTAGTTGCCTACAGGGGATAGCCAGTGACAGATGTGATTCCTGATTCCAAAAGACTGAGATTGCCCTTCTGGCTGTTAGCCAGTGTGATCACAGTCAGTATTTATCTGGCATCAACCTACCCTACACACACATACACAATCACAATAACAATCAACACTACCGTTCCAATACGGAATCATACAAAGCACAGCAAGTGAAGGAAAGAAGACCCATGTTCAAGGCCCTGGTCTGCCAGTTCACTGATTGTGAGGCCTTGGGCCAATACTTTCATAAGGTTCCATTTCCTTCTGATTAAGAGCAGGCATCAAATTTATCCCTAAATGGAATGAGACCCTTTCCCTAAAGGCTTATGAGTCTATGCTGAAGAGGAGGCTGAAAGATTGTCAGGTGGTAGATGATGCCAAGGAAACTGCATTTCCAAGTGTAACAGGGCTGATGCACATAAGCACTCAGGGACTATGACATAACACACAAAACCTGCACAGTTTCAAGCTAGACACAATCCCAGCAAGGAGGAGACATGGACACAAATCCTACACCTAACCAAGAAGTCATTGGCATTGATACCTGGTGAGAGGGGCAAAATCAATTTTCTCCAGTGGACTACCACACTCCAGGGAAGGCCCCATGCCATGCTCAGGGGTAGTTGACTAACACACACACACACACACACACACACACACACACACACACACACACACACACACACCATATTTCGTGTGTACTTTTTGTTTTTGTTGTTACAGTTTGGTGGGTTTGGTATTTTTGGATTTCATTTGCTTTGTTTCCTGGCTTTTTGATAGGTTGGTTTTTGGGTTTTTGTGGGGAAGGGTTGAAAAAGAAGGTGGGTAGGTAGGGAGGTGGGAAGAACCATCGAAGATTTGAGGCAGGGGGTGAATATGATCAAAATGTATTGCACTAAAAATTATAAAAATGTAATTAAACAAAAACAGCACTGAATAATTCTATGCCTGTGACACTTGAGTTTCAAATGTGCTTTCTTTTATCAGGTATGTATAGGGAAAGAAGAGAACTTCTCCAAGAGAAAGCAGAACTTTGTGTCCCTATGCATAGGGACTTTTCTACTCTTCAGTGCAGGAAACAGAAAGGTAACTGGAACTGAGAGGTATATGTCTGCTCATGCTGCTCCATGCTAATAGACCTCTTCAACTCCCTCTTCCCACTGGTCCCCTTGACTTTCAGTAGGGCTTGGTGGCTCATTCTCCATCCCAAACCATTGAGGCGATACCATCTTGGCAGGCTGCTATTGAACACAATGCTATGAAGTTGGCCTTTTCTCACTGATCAGATGATGGAAATGAAGCCTGAGGGATTAAGTTAACTTGCCCAAAACAACTCTGCTGAGCCAGGGTTCTAATCCATAGAGGATGAAAGTACCCACCTCTCAGAATTCTTAGTCAGTAATCAGTAAAAATAGCTAGCTAAGAATTGGGACACTTAGGGGTACTGAGCACTTTGAACACATCATCACATTTATTCCTCAGAGCACCATCACTTCTTAGGATCCATGTCAATAGCATCCCTGTTCCTACAGCCACTGGCAACCTCAGGAACAAGCCATTAAGTCATCAAAGGGTGACTGCATCTTCCACTCAAAGCATTGTTTGACCACTGCAAGCACAGCAGGAATCCCATCCATGAATACCTTGCTTTCTAGCATGCCAAGTCCCCATTACTACTAACCTATAAGAGTGTCAGCACCACGTCTATGTTAGCATCCTAACCTTGCCCCAAACTGGGAACCTCAATTCTGAGCTACATTAAGTCCTCACACCAGTTCCAACTACTAACAAGAGAGTCCTGTGGGGCTCTTCTCTACTGGTTTCCAGTTCCTCTGAAATGTCACCATCCACCCAGGATGGGTCCTGCAGCCCCATTTCTTTCTATTCAGCCTGGTCAATGACTTGAAGATTGGAGCATCTACCCTGCAGCAAGCCTTCATGAA